AAAAAATTTAAAAAAAAATTTTTAAAAATTTAAAAAAATTTTTTAAAAAATTTTAAAAAAATTTAAAAAGAGAGGAAAAGGAGGAATTCTGCCGGAATTCAGTTTTTTTTTTTCTCGCGGCGGGAATTTTCCTCGGAGTTGGAAGCGCAGTGAAAGAAGGAAAAAGTGGGGAAAATCTCAGGATTTCCTCAATAAATGAGGATATAATTAATCAATAATCCACCGAAATCCAGGAAAAAACGGCAAATTCCTGGACCTGGCTCGGGAATTCCTCCAGGGAAAACAAATTTTATCCCAGAGCAATAAATAAATTAAAAAATTAATTAAAACCATGGGAATGGGCAGGAAAATCCTTGGGATTTTTTTCCTGGAAAAGCCGGAGCGATTCCCTCTCGTCCCGTCGGGTGACCAAATTTCCACCTTTTAACCCCAAAATCCCGACGGAATAATGAAGTTTTGGGTATTTGCTAAGGATTTGAAGGATATTTTACACATCTGGATATTCCTCATAAATCCGATTTTCGCTTATTTTCAAACCGGTCAATCCCTTTATGCCACCACTACTAATTTAAAAATTCATTAAATTACAGCGAAAACAAGACTAAAATCTCAAATTTAAAAACTTCTCCTGTTTTTTTTTTTTTCAATTTCCTTTGAGAAATGGCGAAAAAAAATACGGGAATGGAGATTTTCCTTTAAGTCGAGCAAAAATTGGGGGAAAATTCTGTTTTTTGAGGATTTAGGACATTCCTGAGGAGTCCCAATGCCTCGGAATTCCTGACCCAAATCCACAAAAAACTTTGGAAAAATCCACCCCAAGTATCTGGAGCGTGAGGAGGAGACCCCCACATCCCTAAAAATAAAAAAATAATTAAAAAAAAAAAACCCTGAGAATTAATTCCGGATCCGTTTCTTACCTTCCGGAAAGGGAAAACTTTTCCTGCCTCAGCTCCGCATTCCGGCTCTTCCGGGAAAAACGCTGGACGGGAAGAAACGGAATTCCCTCGGGATAACGCCAAAATCTCCCGTTTGAGGTGTTTTTTAAGGCGCGGGGTGTGATTTAAATCCAGAAATTTTAGGGCTTCCCAACGCTGCCGCCGCCGCGGATTTGGGGAGCTCCAAATTCCGCCCCAAACCCACCGAAAGCCTCCCACCTCCATTAACACAAAATTTCCTTATTTCTGGTGGGTTTCCAAACCCGAAATTCCCACAAATTCCCCCCGAAATGCCCCAAATTCCCCCCGAGCGCCCTCATCCCCGCCCCCTTTCCCGGAGCCCCCTCAGCCCTCACTCGGCCGCTGCCGCCGCCATATTGGGAGCGAGCCACATCCGGGTCCTCCCACGCCCGCGTCGCCGCGGCGACAGACCTTGCCCCAAGAGGTGGGGACATGAACGACAGGGGCGTGTCGGGCTAAATATGGGCAAGGGGAGGTGTACGTGGAACCGAATATGGATAAGAAGCGTGGCCTAGGGCGGAGAGGAGCCGAATATGGGCGGGGAAGGCGTTTTGAGGTGGGGCTTAGGGCGGGAGAAGCGGGATTCATGACAAAAAAGGCGGGGTTTAAGACAGGAGAGGAGGGGGTCAAGGCGGGAGGGGCGGGATCTAAGATGGACGTCGCTGCTGAGGGGGCGGGTCTCCGCACTGTGATCCACCAGCGATTAGGGCGGGATTTAGTGATAGTCTGAGCAGTTACCGCACGAATCACGGAGAGTTGCCTTCCCTTTATCCAATCGCAGCGCGGTGCGCTCGGATGGGGTAAGATGGCGGCGCACTGAGACGAGCGTGGCGGCTCCGCTCGCTCCACTCCCACCTGGTCCCCAGTGCCCTCCCCCGGCAGTTCTGACCGTGCGTTCTCCCTTCAGAGTCTCGGAGATGTCGCTCCGCGCCGTGCTCAGGGCCGTGGCCTCGCTGCCCCGCTGCAGTGCGTAAATCATCCCCCCATCTCCAAACCCGCCGCTCCCCCAAAACCCCCTGACCCCTCTCCATGTTCCCCCCCGCAGGTCCGGGGCTGCTCCTCCCGTCGCCGCCGCCCCCTCCTCCATCCGCCGCTATGGCCACGCTCAACCAGATGCATCGTCGCGGCCGTCCCGCTCCCCCTCCCCGCAAACCGGGCCCCACTCTCGGCCGCCCCCAAATTAAAGGGGTGGTGCTGAAAAACCTGATCCGAAAGCCCAAAAAACCCAACTCGGCCAACCGCCGCTGCGTGAGGGTGCGGCTCAGCACCGGCCGCGAGGTGATCGCCTTCGTGCC